AAGAGAGAAAATACAATAACAAGACTTAACTTGCAGCATGACTTACTATTGCAACTTGAGTATTCGTATGAACTTCCTTCCCTTTCTTTGTACGAGTTGTAATAAACATTTCAGACTTTGAGGGTTCCTCGTTGTTCTCTTTTGTTGCGCGCTACAAATTACATCAAAGAAGATATAAAAAACATCACTGTGTTCCGATAAAGTACAAAAAGAAATGAAAGTCAGATTACAAAGTGTCGACTAAATATTACCAGTGTCACACGCACTCTTGCAAAATTAATAGGTCCCATTCGATGCCTCCACTTTTGTTTTTTCCTATTTTCAGAATTTAATTAGCACATAGCCTAACAACAAAAGAAGCATATTAATTAATAAATCAAAAAGGAAACAATATATACCGCAACAATAGGTAGAAAATGTAGAAATGCACGGTTTAATCTTACTTGGACATCTTCGTCATCCCAATACTCAATCAATTGACGGAATTGAACTTCGGGTATCTCATTGGGACGATTTTGTAGCATTTCGTCAATAGTAGAATTTTATCAAAATATTTCTTCTTAATATTTCTCTTGTGTCGCTTCCAAGCATCACGAAGACCAGTCATTACCCACTTCTCTCCTTTGGCTGGAATTAAGAACTTGGACTGCAAAACAACACACAAACATATATATATATATATATATATATATTCTTAGCAAGAAAAATACAAAAAATATATAATTGAAAAACTAATTATTCTTACATTGACATATTCCCACATTCGTTGCTTAATATCCTTTGACACAGCATGCCAACTAGTATGCAACAAGGGGATAAATCTTGGATTCCTTGCAATTGTTTCTAAAAAGTTGGTCAAATCAGACACTCTCTTGTCAGTTGGTCCAACTGCTTGTCCTTTATCATATGTCACCTCCTCTCTTTCTTCAAAACTTCTTGCATGAATATTCTTACATGTTGTTTGCCCTCGAACTCTTTTCTTCTCTAATGTCCCTAGATTGATATAACAAGCAAGACATAAGAAGAAAAGAATCAAAATATGTAGAATAATTATAAGGTTTAAGACATACCACCGGCAGCACCATCGATGTTCATGTCCTCATCTCCAATAAATTCATCATCACCAACTTCATCTTGTGCAGCAAAATTATCCAATTCTATTTCACGCTCATCAATAATAGGAGAGGACATAAATCTGACTTCATTTTCTGGGTGATTATCAGGATTTTTTTCACCACCAACTTGTATCCCATATTTTTTTAGAAATTGATTAACACTCGTCGACGGTAGGACTGAGTTTGTCTTTACCGTTTTGCAATTTTGTACCTCCTGAATATCAAATTGTTTCTCTCCTTCACCTTGTATTCTTCTGAGCATATGTAAAGTGTTAGGATCTACCTTTGCAGATGATTGGATCATGGATGTGGGCACAGGTAATTTACTCATTCCTTGCTTTTGAGTGGGCTCCTCCAATTGAATTGACCTTTGTTTAATTTGTCATTTACTTGCAATATTATGTGAAGTGTTCAGATCTTCCCTTGAAGATGATTGGATTGATTCGTACACCAGTAATCTATTCCTTCCTAACTTTTGAACTGACACATCGGATTGAGTTAACCTCTGTCTACTTTGTCCTTCTAATGTTGCAAGCATACAATTTTTCCTTTTAACTCCAAGTAATGCATGCTCTTTAGCAGCTTTATCGTTGCGATCACTTGCAAGCTTTTCTCTCTTAATTTGAAACTTTTTGGCTAGTTCAGTACTTGATCGGTATTGGAAATCGAAACCTATATTCTTTATTGGACTTTGAGCTTTGTTTGGATTCGGAACTTTTCTCTTAAGAGCTGCTGCTTGATTCATCCTACATACAAAAAATATTAAATTACTTTAGCCTAACAACTAGTAAGAATATATAACAGTATGTGAGAAAGTAAATATTCTAGAAATTAGACATATTTAAGAATATATACAACTGCAACAATGCATCTCCATTCAAATTTATTCAATCCTGAGAGATGGCTCAAAGATGGAGTTTTCCAAAATGCATCTCCATTCAAATTCACTGCTTTTCAGGTATATGTAATAAATTAAGTCTATGACCATAGCAAATATGGCTCAAAGATGGAGGACCCTCACTGAAAGTATTTGAGCAGTTTTCACTAGAATGAAACTGATGGACTGAAGCTGGAAATTGCAGCTGAACAGTCCAGTAAATTGCAGTTGAACCAGCATAAATTAAGTTCAAACACTAGTCAATTCCTCAGTCAACACCCTCCAAATTCAACCCCAAGACTGCAGCAAAAATCTAGATGAATTTCAGCCCAAAAGAGACTCACAACTTAACAAAAATCCTTCTCAAACTTTCAGCAGCAGAACTATTTCACCTAAGCAGCTGAAACAGTGCCGAATTTGCACGCAAAATACTGCTCAAAGATGCAAAAAATGTAGCTGAAACTATGGAGAAACAGTGCAGAAAAACAACAGTCCAATTTAGCAGAGAAAATAGCGGCTCAAACATCAACTGTAACCCAAAAAGAATGGCGTTCCTTTTCCACTAATCAAAAAGTAGCTAAACAAAATCACATTAGCAGAGATAACAGCTGCTCAAATAGGAGAACGAAATGTATCACATTATGCTCAAACATCAACTTTACCCACAAAAAGAACGAAGTTTCTTCTCCACTAATCAAGCAAGCAGTTAAACAAAATAAAGCAGAAGCAAAAAATATATCACATTAGCAGAGATAATAGCTGCTCAAATAGGAGAGCGAAATGTATCAGAAAATATAGCTGCTCACATTAGCAGAGATAATAGATTTTCAAACAGGAGAGTGAAATGTATCGCATTAGCAAAAAAAATGTAGCTGCTCAAACATCAACAAGTCTATTAGAAGGTCGATGGAATTGCACGTGTTTATGGATTGAACGAGATTCAAGCTGGGAAATGGTTGAATTTGCTAGCAGTGTGAAAGGAATAGTTACCCCAAAAAGAACGAAGTTTATTCTCCACTAATCAAGTAAGTAGATAAACAAAATTAAGCAAAAGCAAGATGTATTAAATTAGCAGAGATTATATAGCTACTGAAATATCAACTTTACCCCAAAAAGAATAAAGTTCCTTCTCTACTAATCAAGCAAGTAGCTAAGAAAATTTAACAGAAACAAAATGTATCACATTAGCAGAGATAATAGCTGCTCAAATAGGAGAGTGAAACATATCACATTAGCAGAAAATATATAGCTACTCAAACATCGACTTTACTCCAAAAGAACGAAGTTCCTTCTCTACTAATCAAGTAAGTAGCTAAACGAAATTAAGCAGAAGCAAGATGTATTTATTATATTAGCAGAGATAATAGCTGCTCATACAGGAGAAGCAAAATGTATCACATTAACAGAGATAATATAGCTGCTCAACATCACCTTTACCCCAAACGGAATGAAGTTTCTTCTCCACTAACGAAGCAAGTAGCTAAACAAAATTAACATGGACATATCTTGAATACAATTAACTCTAAAGATAGCTAGTACTACTATACTAAATTTCAATTACTTGCACAGTATAGAAATCACACTCAAAACTCCAAATTGTCCTTCTAAATGAAATGGCATCATTCCTCTCTTTTNTCCTCTCTTTAAAAAAAATGTGTAGCATATTTTCTTTTCTTTTTTTGATAAGATAAAATTTATTAATAAAGGTACCAAGAAGGTACTCAAATTACAACAAAACAAGACAGACCCTACAGCAATCTCTGGTTACATATTTCCAAGTGAGTCTAAAAATTCCATATACTGATCAATACTCTCTAGAATACTCCTTTAACACCAAAAAAATAGATTTTGCATACAAAGGTTCCTGACTCTAGAGATGTTCAGATTGTTCAGAAGAAGGTTATAACAGCTTTTAATAGAGAACTTCAATTCATTGTTCGCTTTCCAGATCATAGAATCCTCTTTATCCTCTTCTACCAACAGACATTCAACAGAAAGTATCTATTTGACCTTATTAAACATCCTTTTGACAAAGGTTCAAATCACTAAGCCTGTTGTTATCTCAAACATCAACATAAAATGGAACAATGATACCTGTTCAATATCTCTTGGTTCCTTAAAATTGGTTAGTCCAATATCTTCTATGTGCACCACCTGATAATAATAAAAAACAGATATGTATATACGTTAAAACTTGCTCCAATACTCCAGGTAATAGGACAATACAAATTCCGAAGCATAATTTCTACTTACTCACGTTCACTTCTCTATTCAAAACTAGAGGAAATTCTCGATCCACATATTAACAATATGGTTCCTCAGAAGGACACATTGAATAACCAATCATGTAATTTCTAGTGATACCAAAAGGGACACATTGAAAATACATGAGTAGAAAATATATGTGCACATCAAAGAAATCGATCAGCAAGAAAATATTCAATATTGAACTTGACGAAATAGACAACATCAATTTAAATCTAAAGCAATAGTCTTTAATGTGTCTCTAGCTATTAATCAAAAAATGGCTAAGCTATTTTCTATTTGAATTAGAAAAAAAACTCATGATGTGTCTTCAAAATCAAACTCTTCATCCGATTCAATTTCAAGTTGGTGTGCTAGAAATCCTTCTGGAGGTACATCAAGAATGGTTGCTGGAACATCACTCCTTACTAAGGCAACTTCACCATTATCCTCCGGTATAGATGGGCCAGCCAAATATTCAGATGGCTCATTTTCATAACACTGTGGGGCATTAGATTTAAGTTCATCACTTATGCTAAACAAATCTCTCGGGACAGTCTTCATGACATAATATTTATCTTGATCATATGGATCTTGCACATAGAAGTATTGGTGTACTTGAGATGCTAGGACAAAAGGCTCGTTCTGATAACATTTCTTATTGAAGTAGACATAAGTAAGGCCATAAATATCTTCTTCAACCTCATACCAGTCGCACTTAAATAAGACAATCCTAAAATGGCCATAATAGTCTAACCCAACTATATAAACTATTCTACCATAATAAGTCAAATTTGCGTCAACCGGATTTTTATCTTTTGAGCTTGCAAAACTTGTAGTTTGGGCGACTAATGTAACACCACTATTTTGTGTTTTACGTCTTGCATCACGCTGCCTTGTATGGAATCTATATCCATTAATGAGATACCCAGAATATCTTTTAGCAATTGAATTTGGTTCAAAGGATAATTGCTTTATAAGATCGGGCACATCCTCTTTCAAAGAACGAGTTTCAAACCATTGAGAGAAGTTTTAACTATGCTTCTTCGCCTTGCTCCATTTAGATCCTCGTCTCTGATTACTAACCTCAACCTCATATTCTCTACACAACAAGTATTTTTATTTGTTAGTAAAATGATCAATAAAGTAATTTAATAACAATCTACATAAATAAATGCTATAAGTGATTAAATTACCTTATATATTCTTGAACTTCATAACAATTGTTCAATAAGTATATATGTGCTTGATTTAGTGACATGTCATCTAAAACAATTGGATCACTCTTTTTCGCTCCTAAAGAATAACCTGTATTAGGGAACAAACTAGAAGCTTGTGCATTAATTGAATCATATTCATCATTATTTCGGGGTTTTCGATTAAATCAAGTCTTTACACCTCCATGTAAGTATCTAGAGCATAAAGTCAACCACTCTTCAACCAAATATGCCTCAGCAATAGATCCTTCTGGATAATTTCTATTGCGAACATATGATTTTAATGTACACTTATACCTTTCAAGAGGATACATCCATCGATTTTGAACTGGACCTCCCAACCTTACCTCATTTGCCAAATGAATAGGCAAATGAATCATTATATCAAAAAAAGTTGGAGGAAAAATTCTTTCCAATTGATTCGTTGTTTCTCTAATCTCTACTTCCAAGCAATCTAGCTCTTCCATTGTGATAACTTTTTGACATAAACGGCGAAAGAAAGAACTTAGACGAATCAAAGGGATAGCAACATGATCAGGAAGTATGCTTTTAACTGGTATTGGCAACAAGTAATGTAACATGAAGTGGGCATCATGGGTTTTATAACCGGATAATTTTCTTTCATCTAGCTGCACACACCTAGATATGTTGGAAGCACTACCATCAGGTAGCTTTGCGGTCTTTAAAACACCACAGAAAACGGATTTCTCACCACTAGTCATTGAGAAACATGCTTTTGCAAACTTTGTTCTCTTGCCATCCTTTGTATCCTTTGGTTGAAGGTTCTTCCTAATGCCCATCTCTTTCAGATCATAACGAGCATTTGCATGATCCTTTGTCTTGCCAGGAATGTCCAAAAGAGTTCCAATTATATTATCTACTATATTTTTCTCTATATGCATTACGTCAAGGTTATGACGTAACGAGTTGTGCTGCCAATAAGGTAATTCAAAAAAATTAAACTTTTTTCCAAGGGCCATCATTTGTTCTCTTTCGCTTCTTCCCAAACACATTGTTAAAATTCTGTAAGTTATTAAGCACATCAGTTCCCTTTAACAAAGGCGGAGGAGGCCTAAATTTTGTTTTTCCATTGAAAGACCTTTTATTAGATCTCCAAGGATGATCCATAGGAAGAAAAACACGATGATCCATATAACACATTTTTCGACTATGTTTAAGATAACGAGAATTAGTGCCATAATTACAACAAGGGCAAGCCAACTTTCCCTTTGTACTCCAACCGGATAACATAGCATATGCAGGAAAGTCACTGATTGTCCATAAAAGAGCTGCTCGCATTTGAAAGGTTTGATCTCTTGAAGCATCATATGTTTCTACCCCGGACTCCCACAAAACATTTAACTCTTCTATTAATGGTTGTAAATAAACGTCAATGTCATTTCCAGGTGATCGTGGCCCAGGTATAAGCAAAGAAAGCATACAGTACTCTGGCTTCATGCACATCCAAGGAGGCAAATTATACACCATTAAAATAACTGGCCATGTGCTATGAGATATGCTCATGGTCCGAAATGGATTGAACCCATCACTTGCTAAGCCAAGTCTCAAATTGCGAGAATCCTTTGCAAATTATGAATACAATCTATCAAAGTCTTTCCATGCTTGCCCATCAATAGGATGCCTTAACTTTCCATCTTTAGAACGCTCCTCGTCATGTCACCTCAATGTATCTGCTGTCTTTGAGCACATAAATAGCCTTTTAAGTCTAGGAATTAATGGAAAGTATCTCAAAATTTTTGCTGGAACGCGATAACCTTTTTTGGAAGCCTCAAGATCGCTATCTACTTCATCGCTATCTACTTCAGAATATTTAATATATCGAGATGATCCTCAAACATGACAATATTCATCATCCTTATGATCATTCCTAAATAGCATGCAATCATTGGGACATGCATCAATCTTTTCATAATCAAGACCGAGATCTTTTACCATAGATTTGGCTTTATCGTAGGATATAGGAATGTTCAAGTCAGGCATCGCCTCTTTTAATAGCTCTAAAAGAGAAGTGAAAGACACACTGCTCCATCCATGTAGACACTTCAACAAATACAGACGCATTGTAAAAGATAATCTAGAGAATCCTTTACAACCAGGATATAGTTCTTGGCTTGCCTCGTCAACTAAGTTATAGAATTTATTGGCATCTTCATTTGGGCCTTCATACACTCCTCCAGCATATGCAACATTTCTAAATTGATCATTAAACAACCCATCAATATCATCGTACGAGTAAACATTATCATCCATGTCACAATTAGCATTCATCGAAATTTCCCATTCCCCATGATTAATCCATCTTATATAACCTTGAACAAACCCATAACATATTAGATGATCATATACTACATTCCTTCGAGTCCAACGAATATTACAACACTTTGCACATGGGTATTGAATTTCGTCGCCTTGAGGATCTCCATAAGAGTAAGCAAAATCTAAGAAAGATTGAACACCCTCGATATACTCTTTGCTCTGCCTTGGTAAATCCATCCATTCCTTGGATGGAACATTTGAATTCCTAAAAATAAAATTTATTAGATCTTCAAATATATAATCATTTAAGCATTAATTATATGGTAAAACTAAATCCTAAATGTCAAGAATAAATCTGTAAAATCATGTGTTGTACAATGATAGGACTTTCTTACCTAGTCATGACACTTAAGCTAAGCCAAATACAACTTTAAGTCCACCACAAATCTTCCAGAGCGTGACTTATCTTCTTGGATAAGAAAAGTAAAATTAGGATCCACAAAACAAAGACAGAAAGTAATAAAATTCTAAACCAAGTTTTTCATGAAGATAATATAATAGTTCTGCGCACCAAAAAGTTTCATGTGCACTTTGGCAAGTATAGTGACACCTAAAAGGTGTTTTGTTCATACAAATATTATATAATTAAAAGAAGTTAAGATATAAAAATCTAACTAGCTATTTTTGATTTCTTCAACTCAAAAGAAGAAACTCCAGAACTAGTCATATTTTAAAATTACTAAAAGGTAACTTTGATGGAACAATTTACCACATTACATTTTGACAGAACAATTAGCAAAGAATAAGCTTCACAACTGGTTTTACATTTTTGGTTCAAAATGTCAGATCAAAGAATCTGTTATGCTAGTTGTGTAGTATCTAATAATTTGATTACATTTTGCTTCTCTTTTCTTGATGTCATTATTTTTGGTCCACATTGATATCCCGGATTTTCTTGATGCGGAATTATATCTAACCAAGTCAACTAAAAGTGAAAACTTTGGTTGACAATCCAATACCAAATTAGTGTAGTTCACTCAAGGTTGTTAAATTGATACTTTGATCAAAACGGTACAACTAAAAGTTCTTTTCATATATGTTGGCTGCAAATTTACCAATACTCATTAGAATTACCAGATTGATCCCTTGTTGTAAACTTAAAGGATCATATTCTTATTATGTTTGAAGGAATCATTTGCAACGTTTGATGCATGCCAGCAATATGTATTGGTTATTATCAGTTAAACAATACTGCATATTTGGAAAATCTAAGGTTGTTTTAATACTTTGGAGATAAGCATCACTGCAGGATAATAGCAACAATAAATTAAAAGAAAACTGAACTTGAAACTAAAAGCTAACCATCAATTGAATGAAAGAGCCAGTTCAATCTATTGAAGACATGACCGGTCCAATGAACAATCTATTGAACACGTTACACGCTAAGAAACTTCTGTGATGAATTAACATTGGCATTTCAGAGCTCACTCATGCAGTTGTGAGGTAAGAAAGAACCTATGATATTCACTAGTTTAGCTTATTATATTTGAAGCTAGAAGTCTACTGAACTTTCTCAGTATTGGAACCATGCTTTACTGTTCCAGTAACAGTTATCTCAAGTCATGCCATAATACTGGATTGAACAATAATGATGAACAGTTCTGGAATGTAAAGGCAAAATATACAAATATAACCTCGGGGACCACTTAATTATTGATGATAAATCATCTGACTTATCACAATAAAGGAAGATATAAATTCTCTGCTAACCTGTGTCGCACTTAACACATTTTAATTTCTCTTCTGTTTAGGAAAAAAAAAAGTTAGCAGATCAAGGGCACAAGCAATGTGCTACTCTACAAAACTTTTGTGCTATTCAAAACAAGAGCTTCTCTATCGTACATTGTTTAGATGACATTTAATTTATAGTTGATGTTTCAGGGTCAGTACCTGCGCAAAACTACAGAACTCATCAATGCATTTTGTGAAATGAATCCAGTTTCAGGCCATTTATAAGACTGCTGAGAAGTTGCAGGAACAATATATTCCCAATAGACATTACCACCTTGTCGGCACTAATTTTCTTGTAACAACAACAGTGTCACCTACAACAATCAGAGACCATAAGATGGTAAAATATTGAAATAGAAGAGCACCAACCTGAGATTGGAAGAATTCCCGTTTCTCTAGCTTTAATAATTTCTTCAATCAGCCGGAACGAGGAGGGTGAGAAGGTGCAAAACAGTACCTAAGAGAAAGGGGAAACGAGAATTCTTCTTTTGAGACAATAGTTTGAAAACAAAAACACTACCCAAAGTAGGGTAAGAAGGTGCAGAAACAGTACCTAATCCGGATCGGAGATTCGTCAGTACGTAGTATTGAAGCCAGAAACCCTAAACTAATGTATCGATAGAGATTTTAGCGAGGAGAGAGATCTTTTGCCCTTTGAAATTGAAAAAATAATATTTCACCTAGAGTAATATAGTTGGAGGGAACATTACATTTTTTTGGAGGGAATATTATATTTTAGCCAAATATTTTGTTGGACTTTTAGAGCACATTTATAAAGTGTTGCTTTTCGAATTATAATAAGAGCACGCTTAAAAAGAGTGCCACATACTCAAGTAAATGTTGCCAATTATTTTATGATTTAGCAACGTTTAATAAGTGTGGCCTAATAAATTAAAGAGCATATTTTACAAGCGTAGCCAAATTTTCCGTATCCAAAAGCTCCATACAAAGGCCAACCCTTAAAAAGTGTGCCCAAATATATTTTTGGGCACACTTTTTAGGCGTTGTCTAAAACTAGTGTTGCGTTAGACCATAATTGTTATAGTGATAGTGTGATCTCTCCAGAGTTCAAGTACCTAAACTATCCTATATTCCCCGGACAGGTTAAGAAAAAAAAATACTTGTTTAATATGTCTATTCATGACACGGTAGTTATGTTTTTATAGCTCCTTCTTAGTTCCAATGTGTCAATTGTTGTACAGGATCCATCATTTCCACTAAGATTAGCGAACGCCGAAAACATTAACAAATTAAAGAGTTTTTGTGGAACTAACTAACTAATTTTTGTAGGGATATATAGATTTAAGTGTGATTATGGGGCAGAGTGGTGAGTTGAGGAATGAGTCAGCTGATGTAGAGGCAGCCAAGACCCGCTTAAAGACAAAGACTGAGTACATAAAGCGGCTATCCCGAAGAGAGACCCTAGAAGAGATCCATGCTCGAGGTTTTGGCCTATCGGCCGAGATTGAAGAAGCTAGGAGGCTCGAGGCCGAGGCAAAGGAGCTCTACGAGCCTGAGGGTTCCGAGGGCTCCGACGTTTCTGGCGATGAGTCGGGCCCCAGTGCAGACTAGGCGTAGATGCCTTAGTATTTTTCTAGTTTTTCCTTATGTTTGTAAATATATTTTGGAGTATATAACTTTTTTTCCTTTCTGGCAATACTGTGTCTTTACTTTTCTAGCATCTTCTTGTAATTTCTATTTGTGTATTGTTTTGATGTCTTAGCATAAAATCAGATGTAGTTCTGAATCATCCATTTTTCGGAGGTTCGAACAGAGCCCGACTTCGATGCAACTTTGGTTTACTTGTGGCTTTGAATCCTCGGTGAGACTAAAGGTTTTTAAGATGCTTAAGTATTTTTAGACAATGTTTTTGCCGAGGGTAGCCATTTAGTAGGTTTTGAATTCTTGTAAGGGCCTTACTTTCTCGTTACGGATTTTGGACATCTCCGAGCCATTTTTAGGGTTGTCATAGCCTTTTATATTTGGGCACCGCCTAATAGGTTTAGTGCCTTCGAGATTCGGTAGCCCGGGTCGTCCGAATTATTTTCGGGCGATAGTCCCCGAGTAGGGGTAGCCCCTGGGCTTGACAGTCCCCGAGTTGGGGTAGCTCGTGGGCTTTAGGATCCAGGATCAAAGAAGCAAAATGCACAGCAACAAAGTGTAAGGGAAGTAAAAATTTCTTTCATTGCTTAGTATGCAAGGTATACGATCGAAGGCGCATAAAACTTGAGTCATGGCTAGAATGGACTATGTGGGCACGGTTCATACGACTGTTTGGACCTTTCAATGAATCCTAACCACCAAGCCTTAGATTTTAGCACATAAAAGTTTATTTTTCCCTTGCAAAAGATCTTAATTCGAGGGTAATGGCCTCTAGTATTCAAGGTCGAACTCGTAAGGGCTCGAATACTGTTGACCTGAAGCAAGCGATCATTGATTCCGGTTTGAAACCGATCTTCAAATCTAAGGTAGCATGTTTTACTGTTGCCTCATTAAAAACCTTACCGGAAAACCCACTTCGGGACAAAAACGGTTCAAAGAAAAAGAGTGGAACACGTAATTTCATACCTAATAGCCACATCCATCATTGGCTGATTACCTGCATACGTTAGTCCAATTTATAACATAATTAAAAAGTAACTGAGTTCGTACCTTATCAGTTGTACCGATTTAAGTGTGTCTCGTTCTAGTTGTTTGGTAGTTGCACGTCATTTCCCACTTCTAGTTTATATGAGCCTTTGCCAGTTATTCCGATGATTCGATATGGTCCTTCCCACTTTGGGGCCACTTTCCCTTCGTTTGGGGTTCTGGTGTTTAGTGTTACTTTTCTCAACACCAAGTCCCCAACTTAAAATTTTCGGAGGCTGGCTCTTCGGTTGTAATACCTTTCTATTCGCTACTTTTGGGCGGCCAACCAAACCAGGGCGGCCTCTCGCCGTTCATCCAATAGTTTTAGGCCCGTGATTATGGCCTCACCGTTTGGCTCTTCAATCGCGTACTGGAACCTGAGGCTCGTTTCTCCCACCTCGACTGGTATTAAGGTTTCGGCTCCACAAACCATAGAAAATAATGTGGCCCCGGTGCTCGATTTCAAAGTCGTATAGTGTGCCCATAGGACTTCGGGCAGGACCTCCTTCCTTTTCCTTTTCGAACTAGTCAACCTCTTTTTCAGGTTTTGAAGTATAGTCTTGTTCGTTGATTCTGCCTGCCCATTTCCACTAGGATGATAAGGAAACGATAGTATCTTCTTGTTCTTGTGGTCTTCGAAAAACTTACTCACCTTACTGTCGATGAACTATTTTTCATTGTCGCAAATAATCTCGGTCAGTATCCCAAATCGACATATTATGTGGTCCAGATGAAGTCAATTACTTCTTTCTCTTAGACCTTTTCGAACGTTTGGGCCTCAACGCATTTGAAAAAATAATCGGTCATGAATAGTATGAATGGAGCTTTACCGGGTGCCCATGGCAAGGGACCGACAGTGTCTATTCCCCACTTTATAAATGGCCATGGGGACAGGACCGTGTGGAGTATTTCCACCAGTTGATGGATAATCAAGGTGTGTCTTTGGCACTCATCGCATTTTCGTATCATGTCCTTTGCATCCTTCTCCATATCGGTCTAGTAGTAGCCTACCCTAATCAGTTTTTGAACCAAGTATTCTACCCCTAAATGATTCCTGCAAGTGACTTCATGAACTTATCTCGTGGCGTATTCAGTCTCTCCTGGTCCTAAGAATCTAGCTAGTGGGCCAAAGAAGGTTCTCCTGAACAATACCCCTTTGACCAAGCTAAATCTGGCAGCTTTGGTGCGCAGGGCTCTTGATTATTTGGGATCTGAAAGTAGTTTTTCTGTCTTCAAGTAGTCTATATATTTGTTTCTCCAATCCCAAGTTAAACTTATTGAGTTCATTTTGGCGTGGCCTTCTTCTATCACCGAGTTCATTAGCTGCACTACTCATCCCGAACTGAATTTATCATAATCGACTGACGGCCCCAAGTTAGCCAGTGCATCGGCCTCAATGTTTTTGATCTAGGGGTACATGCTGCAGGGTTCATTCCCTAAATTGATGTAGGGTTACCTGTAATTTGTCCAAGTACCTTCGCATCTGATCTTCTTTTACTTTGAACATCCCGTTAACTTGATTTACCATGAGGAGGGAGTCGCACTTAGCTTTGATCACCTCGGCCCCAAGGCTTTTAGCTAGTTCTAGACCTGCAATCATGGCCTCATACTCGGCCTCATTGTTAGTCAATTTCATAGTTCTAATAGAATGCCTAGTCACATTTCCCGTAGGCGGTTTTATTACGATACCGATCCCAAACCCCTTCGTGTTCGAGGCACCGTCCTTAAAAAGGGTCCAAATTCCCGATATGGTCCCCGAGGTTAAGAATAATTCTCTTTCGACTTCAGATATTAAGGCTAGCATAAAGTCGACCACGAAGTCTTCCAAAGTATGAGATTTTATGGTTGTTTGGGGTCGATACTTGATATTGTACCTGCTAATTTCCATGGCCCATTTGGCCAATTGGCCCGAGAGCTCGGGCTTGTGCATGATGTTGCTTAGCGGGTAAGAGTTCATGACCCATATGGGTGGCATTTAAAGTACGACTTTAGTTTCCTAGAGGAGCTTAGCAAAGCGAGCGCCAATTTTTACAAGTGAGGATACCTTGATTCGGCCTCGCCTAGAGTTCTACTAATATAGTAAATAGGAAATTGCGTACCTTCTTCGTCTCGGACTAAGACTCCACTTACCGCCACATCGAAAATTGCCAAGTAAAGGTACAACTATTTGTCTTCCTTCGGAGTGTATAGCAGGGGTGGACTCAATAGGTACCATTTGAGTTCTTCCAAAGTTTGTTGGCATTTTGGGGTCTAGAAAAACTTATTCTTCTTCTTTAACAGTGAGAAGAATCGATGGTTTTTGTTCGAGGACCTCGAGATGAACGATCCTAAGGTGATTATACGCCCGGTCAGTATTTGAACGGCCTTGAAATTGTTCACCATGGCGATGTCCTTTATGGACTTTATTTTGTAGGGGTTGAACTTAATTCCTCGATTGGACACCATGAACCCGAGGAATTTGCCCGATCTGACCCCGAATACGCACTTCTTTGGGTTTAGCTTCATGTTGTATTTCTTTAGTATGCCGAAGGTCTCCTACAAATGTTTCAAATAGTCATCTACTTGTAGGGACTTGAGCAACATATCATCAATATAAACTTCCATTGATTTTCCTATATGTTCTTTGAATATCCGGTTTACTAGGCGTTGGTAGGTGGCACCAGCGTTCTTTATTCCAAACGGGATTACGCTATAATAGTAGGTACCGAATTTAGTGATGAAAGAAGTCTTTTCTTGATCGTACAGGTCCATCCAAATTTGGTTGTACCCAGAGTAGGCATCGAGAAAGCTGAGTATCTCGTGCCGGCCGTTGCGTCGACCATTTGATTGATGTTAGGAAAAGGGAAAGAATCTTTGGGGTATGACTTGTTTAGGTCTTTGTAATCTACACATGTTCTTAGTTTATTCCCCTTTTTAGGTACTACAACTACATTAGCTAACCAGTCCGGGTATTTGACTTCCCGAGTAGATCCTATTCTTGAAAGTTTGGATACATCATCCTTGATGAAAGCATGTTTGATCTCAGACTGTGGCCTCCCATTCTGCTTAATCGGGT